CTCCTCTGGTCAGCATCCCTTGCCATTCTCGGACCTTCAGTCGGTCCCTCTCTACGGTAGATATCTCTTGGTACGCTTGTCTCCATTCCGTTACCCGTGGCAATCGGTCCTCCTCCTCGGTAAGTGTCATGACCGCCATGTAGTCCGCTGTTCTTAAGTCTTGCCAGTACTTCTACTAGTAATTCGAAGAGTCGTTCTAGTGTCGCCGTGTGGATGAGGATATCATCCAGATATACTAGTAGCAACCGAAGCAATCACCGTAGGCATAGTTTGACAGAACTGCCTGTCGGGCGCATTGGTTTGTTCCTCAGTCCAAATAAAGTTTTGGTCCCTTCTCAACAATTTAGACAAAGGCAGAGGGATTTTAGCATAATTCGGAATAAATGCCCTGTAATAGCCCATAATTCCAAGAACTCTTCTGACTCCACTCTTATCAACGGGAGGCAACAACAACCTAATAGCATCAATTTTTTTTGGCTGAGGGCTCAATTGTCCTTCTTGAATAACATGTCCTAAATATTATATTTGTGAAGGTAGGAAAGTACATTTCGAAAGGCGTAGTTTTAGACCAGCGAAACGTAATCGTTTGAAAACCTCCTGCAGCAACTCCATAATTCGTGGAAGTGTAGATGCATGAATGAGAATATCGTCTAAATAAACGAGAACGCCCTCCCAAAATAAATCGCCGAAGACATGAGTTACTAGTCTTTGAAAAGTTGTCGGAGCATTCACGAGTCCAAACGGCACCACAGTAAATTCATATAAACCAGAAGGGGTTCGAAACGCCGTTTTTGGGATATCATCCGCCTTCATTGTAACCTGCCAGTATCCAGCTCGTAAATCTAGGGCGATAAAGTAACGTGAGCCTTTGACAGCTCTAAGTAGATCATCTATCCTAGGAATAGGGAACTCGTCTTTCGTGGTGATTTTATTGAGTGGTCGATAATCTATACAGAATCGCCACTCTCAGGTTTTCTTCTTAACAAGTACTACCCCAGATCGAAAGCACTTTGACTTTCCCGAATTACGTCTTTCGGAAGCATCTCTCGAACTTCTTTCTCAATAATTAATTTCTGTTCTTCTGAATAACGACGGCATCTGCTTGCAATGGGCTTATTCACCTCTAGATTAATAGCATGCTGAACTAACTTGGTTCGTCCTAAATCATCTCCCACCCACAAATCTTTGAAACTCAATAATACGCCTTCTAGTTGTTGATTTACTAGAATATCTTTTGACACTTGGTTCATCACCTGTTGAAGCATTTCTTGTTCTGATTGTTTCAAACTGGTAATACTTGACACCAAGTTCCCTGGTAATAACTTAATTCTTTTTAGTTTATACCACTTCTTATCCAGTTGTATCCAGGCCCCCCCCAAGTGAAGTTTAGCTTTGTGGTTGATAAGGTACGGGATTCCCAAAATAAGCTGCTGCGCTTCTGGTAATACTAAACCGATTACCTTATGTACCCTTTTGTCTCGTAAACGGATCTCAACTTGTCCCCACGAT